GATGATCTTACTAGTTTCCTTAATAGTCTTACTAATATCCTTGAGCATCCTTATAACCATTATTCTGAACTCTGTATCTAGTAGCTTGCTTGGCTCTGTTTCATTTAGTTTCTTTTCTGGATATTTCTTCTGTTCTTTTGTGTGTGACATGTTTCTTTGCCTCCACATTTTGGCTGCTTCCAGGTGTTTGTTTCTATGTATTAGGAAGAGCTGCTTTGTCTCCTGGAATTTGTAGAGTGGCTTTGTGTAGTAGGTGTCCTGTAGGGTCCATTGGCTCAGCTTCCCCAGTCACCTGAGCTGGGCCTTTAAGGTGCTCCCCTGTGTGGGCTGTGTGCACTGTCCTCTTGTAGTTGAGCCTTAGTTGCTGTTGGTGTTACTGGGAGGTATTGACTCCCAGGCCAATCAGCTGTGAGGACCAGTTGCAACTACAGCCAAAGAGCTGCTGTGCTGGAGACATACCTATGAAGCAGGATTTACCTCAGTGGAGCTTTGGTGTTCACCAAGTGTGCCCCTTGAGTGTTTCACTCATGGATGTGGTAGGGTTGTAATCCAGCATGGTCGAGTCTAACCACCAGGTGCACTGTCTCTGGGGCCTTTCGGGAAGTGAAAAGTCAGCCTCTGCCTATACCTTGCCCAGGGCCACCCAGCATGAGCTACACAGCAAACCATAGTTGGCTGCTACTTATGCTGGGCTTGGAGGTGTCCAGGAGAGGCCAAGCTATGAACCAATGCAGGCTGCCACTAGTGCCAGGCCCTGTCTCTTATACACATCTAGATGTGTATANACTGCTGCTTGTTTGAGAGATTTTAGAAAGTCAAGCATGAGGCCAGAGAGGCCACTTGCATAGAAAAGCCACTGGAAATGGCTTGGATGAGCTTGCAAGTAGGGAGGGACAGGGTGTCCAAGAATTACCAGGGTGGAGCCAAAGGTATGAGTCAGGTGCTGGAGATTCAAATATGGTGCCTGCCTGGTTCCTTTCAAGCTGCTGCTCAGCGCTGGAGCTCAGAGGGAGCACATCTGAGTGAGTCCTTGCACTGGCCCTTTAAAAGGAACTGCCTAGGACTCCTGCAGCCTCAGAGCCACTCAGCCACAATCCCCTCTGGTTTTCACAGCCGGAAGTTGTGCGACTTCTCTTTTCAGCCCTGGAACCCTCGTCTGGGGGCCTGTTGTGGGGCTGGGATCCTTCACGCCTCTGGGAAACCTCCACCACCAAGATACCCTTCCCAGGTTTAAACCGTGGCACTGGGTGTGGGACCACGGCTGTGTCTCTGTGATTCAGCCCCGACCTTCCCACGTCTCCACTGCTCCTACTGGTCTCATTGCTTATTCAGTTTTCTGGTTGTAGTACTTCTGTTCAACTAGATTTCAGGAGTTTCTGAGTGATAGTTCTGTATTTTAGTTGTAATTTTAATGTGGTTGTGGGAGGAGGCGGGTACCATGGTTACCTACACTGCCATCTTGTCTCTACTCTGTTTTACTTTTTATCCAATCTCAGAGATTTCCTCACTTTGCTTTCTCCTGCCCTCTTAATCTACCACCAATGAATTTCATGTAACCCTTTTTTGTCTCCTCTGATTCTAATAAAATATGCTGCAAAACTGCCATTCTTTGGAGCATTTCCTCAATCCATTCAGATTTTGTTTCCTGGCATTTTTCATCATTTTGGCCCAAATAAACTCTTACAAAACTTTTTTTAAAAAAGAATATAGATTTCTGCATTTTGAATATTCTTCAGAATTTGTCTTGTAGGGGAATAACATTTTTTCTTCTATTCTATGTTATTCTGGGTGGTCTAATCAAATTGACATAGGACAGGTTAACAAGAGAAAAACAAAAGTTTAATAACATGTATACCTCCTGTATATATGGGAGAGACCCAGGGAAACGAATTCCCCCAAGTGGCCCACACCACCACCTTAAATACCATCTTCAGCTAAAGGCTGAAGAAGATGTTGGGGTGGGGAGTCAGTTATGGGAGGCTACCAGGAAAAGCACAGTGAACAAGGGTAATGTTGTTATGCAGATTGTTTGCCTTCTCTTTTAT